CTTTAAAGTGACTATGCCTTGGCAAAAAAGAAGAGTACATTTACTTGCCTCTTCAGTGGTCAATTTCTTGAAAAGCTTCTGGTTTACTGCTCAAAGTCCTCTACAAATATTTATACAGTTCCAGGTGTGTGGAATCCTTGACCCCCGCTGCTAACTGTGGTTTCTACCAACTGCTTATTAGTGACTACAGGAGGGTACAGGCCAGCGGAAGGAACCACAGCAAGTGTGTGTGGGGGGGGTAGCGGGTCATTGACCCATCCGACAGAGGATGATGAGCCATGAAACAATCCTCTACAAAGGTAAGTACATGCAGTCTTCCTTTAGCAGGTATGGTATACATACAAGTGATCGTCACTTTAAGGAAGCTAGTGGGGCTACCCCTGAACTGCAAGCGTTTCCTGGAGTTCTGCTTAATTCTACCTTTCTGGCTGACCTCACACTAGAACATTTAACCAGAAGTTTACCTGTTTACCTTTCCCCCTAGATAGGAGCAATGTTTAGAGTACCTAGTGCACCCCTAGTCATGTATGCTCATAATATACCATTATGTCTATTAGATCTTTACCACCTTTATGAAATTCTGACTTCCATCTACAGTCAGTGGCCAGTTATCGCAAAATTAGGCTGTATCTGGTTTCCATTTTTTTTTCTGGTTTTCTTTTTTTTTTACCCAAGAGGAATGTATCAGTATTAATGTACCTTCCAGGCTATTGGATGTGAGCATAGTTAGTGTTATAATGGATCAGTAGCCATAAGGAGTACAGACAGGATGGCGACACATCCATTGCAGCAGTGCTAATTCAGGAACGTCTGCAGGTGCCGGACTTTTATTTGTATCTGTTGCGATGAGTGCAGATGCGTGCGTTCGCACACTGTCATTATCTTACATGAAGATTGCAGCTTACGTTTCATAGGCTCAGCAGGAAAAGCTGACATCAGCTTAATTCAATGAACATGCTTAATATCAGATTTTACTTCTTATGCACTGAAGCCCAACTAGCCAGGTTATAAAAATAGTGCCCCCGCCCCCACACCCAAACACCCATAAGAGATCTGGCCCACAATCTTCTTCCTTGCTGGTTGTGATGACCAGTCCGCTGAAGCTATTCTGCTTGCCGGTCTCCAGCTATTTTTATCGCCCTTCTTGTTGACCTAAATATGGCTGCACTGTAATTAGTGTAGGCCCAGAACCTACATCATCAGGGTGGCATGTAGCCGCTCCCATAGGTACCCTCTTGTCACATTTCAATGCTGGAGATCTGGGACAACGGCCATTGCCGAACCGCGGATTAAGGTGAGTAATGATGGCTGTTACATAGTTAAGAGCTAACTGCACTTTATGTTTCATGTTACACCCATATTTAGGGTGAATTAGGAACAATTAGCAGTATTAGAAGGAGAAGTCAGCAATGGCTTCCTTTATATTCATTCTCAATACAGTTTTATTTTTAAGAAAGCACCTTCTGATCTAATAGCATCTAATTGGTATGAAGAAATACTATTGTCTTTGGCAAGTTTAGACATGACATGCTTGTTACTGGGATGGCGTTGTGTAGGACGCTTAGAGCAATGAAAACAAAGAAGAGTCAAAAGGTGTTGAAGCGTCATGTTACCTTATCTACAGTTCACTACCTGACCTCACACCCAAGCCATTGGCAGGCAACAATCCTTTCTTCTGATCTTTACACCGAGTCCCAGTGCAATGACTAGATTAATGCGTGCATTACATCAATTGTCATAAAACATGCTTCTGTCAACATTTGCCAGATAATGTTTATTTAACAAATGCTCATACACAGTGCTGGGATTAAAGCAGGCTAAACTTGGATGTTCTGGCTTCTTGACATTTCCAACCACATCCTGGCTGAAGTCAGAGGCACTTATCCCAATGCTTGGCATTGTAGAATGTAGAGTAAGGGAGTTACCCAATTACCTTCGGGGATCAGAATTTTTTTTTCTCCTGTTAGAGTGAACTGGATCATATAAAGTTTTTTTGCCTTCTCTGGATTAACTGTTACTTCCAGTGAACAGGCTTTGCTGATTTTCTCCATAAAATGAGAACAGAAATGGATTCCCACACAATGTTGGTTGTAGTATATCGCTCTTGGCCATTATGCTCAACTTGTACATGCTGTCTTCTCAGTTGGACAATATGGAGAATTCGGCAAGGACCAATTAGCCATATTGGATCATAAAACCAAGTTAAATATTGTATTATATTATGTTTTAACTGCAGTGGGGTGATGGAGGGAAATCTTTTCTTCTGGGGTCCAGGAGAGTGATAAAAAGCCAATGGATAACTGAATTTGCTTTGGCCAATCTAAGATGAAACAGAAGATATACACCAGCCATAACATTTTGACCACTGACAAGTGAAGGGAATAACATTGATTATTTCATTGCAATGGCATCTGGAAGTGGGTAGGATATATTAGACATTTTGTCCCTGAAGTTGATGTGTTGGAAGCAGAAAAAATGGACAAGTGTAAGGATTTGAACAACTTTTACAAGGGCCAAATTGTAATGGCTAGACGACTGGGTCAGAGCAACTCCATAACTGCAGCTCTTATGGGATGTTTCTGGGTCTGCAGTGGTCAGGACTTACCCAACGTTGTTAAAGGATGGAAAACCAGTGAACCAGTCACAGGGTCATGGGCGGCCAAGGCTCATTGCTACACGTGGGGAGCGAAGGCTGGGATCCAAAAAAAGAGCTACTGTAACTTAAATTGCTAAAAAGTTAATGCTGGTTCAACAGAAAGGTATCTGAACACAAAGTGCATCGCAGTTTGTTGCATATGGGGCTGCGTAGCCATAGACTGGACAAGGTACTCATGCTGACCTGCGTCCAACACCAAAAGTGCCTACAATGGGCACATGAGCATCAGAACTGTACCACAGAACAATGGAAGAAGGTGGGCTGGTCTGAGGAATCACAGGGATGTGTGTTGCTTACCTGTGGAAGAGATGGCAATATGATGCACTATGGGAAGAAGGCAAGTCTGCAGAGGCAGTGTGATGCTTTTGGCAATGTTCTGCTGGGAAACCTTGGGTCCTGCCATTCATGTGGATATTACTTTGACACGTACCACCAACCTAAACAGTGTTGCCGACCAAGTACACCCCTTCATGGAAATGGTATTCCCTGAGGGCAGTGGGGGATCCGTGCATGGCTTTCCTGCGGAACTGAAGGCACCCGTCTAAATGGGGCCTTACTTTGCCTGATGAAGGCGCCCTGAGAGGTTCTGAAACTTTGCCTTTTCTATAAGCTGAACAAACCTCAATAAAGACATGCTTTGAAGCAAGATGTCGTGCTGACAACATATGTCTCCTATGTATATTATATCAGGCCCAGTTCATGTGAAGTAATAATTCTTCTTCTTTGTGTTTGTAGTGTTCTTTGAATGGTATACCCTTGAGCTTTCTTATATGAGAAATGATATATAGACAGTAGACTAGATATACAGAATAGTTTGCATGGACTTTTCAATTACTTTATAGATTTTCTTTCTAAAGGCAGGAATTGTATGTATGGTAAATAATTTATCAATGTGTGTTAATCCTAAAAACAGACAATACCTTGTTTCCATGTATACACTGTAGTTTGCATGTATTTATGTACATGGGGTGGGGATATTTGTTCATCACTACTACTGCTTCCTGCTTTGCAGGGCTACACAATGGTTGTGCTTTACTGCTCTATCTTACAATGCAAGTCTGTGAGTCGACAGGTTTATAACAATGCACTTCTTGTGTGGTTATTATTGTATATCAACGACTGCAGTTAAAGTATTGTAATGTATTAAACGCTCAAACTTTTTTTCGAATAATTAATCCAGATCAAACAAATATTCATTGCCCAGAAAAGTATTTCTTACATTTTTGCCTAAGCACGTATAGCCATAATGTTTCCAAACAGCTCCAACGCTCTCACCTCTGCTTCCCTAAACTTCCTGTTGTGCACAGGACCATAATCTGGCTCCATAGGACCCTGCAAGGGAAAGGAGCCACCCTAAAACAGGATATCAGTGGACCAACTGATTCTGCAGGAAACTAAAACTTTTAAACATGGAGCATCATCCATTGTAAGTGATTTTATCAGCATTTGAAATAGCTTAAAAACCTTTTGACTTTAATATTACTTTAAGTTGGCCATACACTGTTATAACGTAGGCCAATTCACATCAATTGGGCAAAATTCTAACAGTGGGTTGTTCTGCCTTTTCGAGAGAAGTCAATTATTAGTTAGAGCCGACCTGTGACGAAGAAGCAGTGAGCAGAAACATGCACCGATCTGCTCACTTCCCAATCGTCTCCCTGCAGTGAGCGATGCCGGTCAGTCACGGCTCCCAGCAGGGATTCCCCCTCTCCCCTCTCTGATCCTCCACGCTGAGTGGAGGAACAAACGGGGGAGGGGCGGGCACAGCTGGCTCTGCCTCTAGATAGGCAGAGCCAGCTGTCACTCACGCAGCTGGGTGAATCTCGACAGTAATGTCGAGACAGCCGCGGCGCTCTCAGTATATAGTGGGCAATAGCTCGCTATATACTGAGCTTTGGGTCACGGGAGGAGGCTGGTATATGTTCTCCCGTGACCCTAAAGAGAACTATGGGGAAAACCACTTACCGCATAGTTCTCTTTTAAGGGGTCAATCTATAAATCTATAGCTCAATGGCAAAAATATAGAATAGCGAGCTTCTAAAAATGTGAAAATCACAACAAAAATACTTTAAAGTGAACACTGCAATATGCGCACACTGATAATATAATGAGTTTCCCTGTAAAAGATGGGCTATTGTTAAAGTTTGATTCAGGCTTAATCAAATGGACTGTCCCCACATAGAGGGAAGAATAGAATCTTTGGACGACTGACTCCCCAGTGGTTTGCAGGCAATGCGTGCTGTGTAGCCCCAGGCTGTGACTGATGTAAAGTGCTTTTCTCAAAGTGGGTTTTGAGATCAGTCATCTCATCTGTGTAATGTATGTTGCTGTGTTCTCTCTCCAGGGACCACGGAGAGCGCCCCCATTTCATCACTCACAGAGACTCAGGTAAAAGCTGTAATCAGATATGATTGAAGTACGGTGGGGGGAGGAGGAGGAGGGGGGGGAGGGGTGTTGCTCTGATGAGTTTAGCTGCATTCATCAACTTTATGAAAGGATCAGTGTCCTTAATCAAGCCTTATCAATCTGGACATTTGAACTATACCTGATTGCAGCTTCATTGTAAATGTCCTGCATGCAAATAAATTGCTGTACAGCTTGGTGTGAGTGTAGTTCATGTGTCTAAAAATGTTCTTTTAATCCAAGCAGTGGGAAAAAATAAGTGGCATGTGAGGGGTTATTATTAATGGTGTGCTAAATGGCAAGGGATGGCATGCGAAGACATAGCCCTATGACCCTCTGATGTTTTAAATCGGGGAAGTCTCAGTTTGTTATTTTATTGATATAAAATGTTATACATGATAAGATTACAGTAAAGTCTACCTGTACTGTACTTATAGCAAGGCATTACATTGCACCTAGAAGCATCCGAGAGCTACACAGGCATTTTTAGCAGCTCAGATGTCCTTAGGTTTGTATCATGGCATGTTGGGTCTTCTTCCTCTTGCCAATTCTCTAGTCCTCTACTGATGCCCCTTAGGGGGGGGGGGTGGCACCATGCAATAGGTACAAACTGGCACTCATAAGGGGGTCCGTCCATAGAATACTTAGGGGTAGAAGTGACGGACTAGAGACGGGAAAACAAGCCAAGGAAGGCACTTCATGGTGTCTACTGTCAAGCTGACCACATCCATGCTTCCATGGAAGATGGAATAAGTTGGCAGGATGGGGCAACCCTATGGAAACATGGAGCAGCTCTACCCTCTTGTCTCCAATCCTACCGCTGGAACCTTGGTGCCCATTAAAGCTTCCACCAGGGTCTTCACTCAGCGATAGATAAAAACTGGGTCCGTCCATTCAAGACTTTATTTGCAAACAGGCATAAAAGCAGCCAACAAACAAATGCTAATGCATTTCAGCTAAGACTAAGGCCCAGTTTGGGGGCAGAAACGTGTTTGCATTTGTGTATTGGCTGCTTTTATGTCTTTTTGCAAATAAAGTCTTGAATGGATAGACACCCTTACAAGTGCCAATTTTTTACCTATTGTTGAGTGAAGGCTCTGCCGGAAGCTTTACCGGGCACCGAGGTTCCAGCAGCAAGATTGGAGACGAGGGTAGAGCTGCTCTGCTTCCCTAGGGTGGCACCATGCCACCAACTCATTCCATCTTCTATGAAAGCATGGAAGTAGTCAGCTTGACAGCAAACACCATCAAGTGCCTTCCTTGGCTTGTTTTCCAGTCTCCAGCCCATCACTTCTACCACTAAAATGCATAGAGGTGGTATCACATGGTCTCATATGCAGAAGCCAGGATTTTCTGGAGACTGGCGTTCCAAATTGCACAAGTTAAGAGCAGTCCCTTGATGGAGCTACCTACCGAGCTGCGGGTTTATATTTATTGTTTTGTCCTGGGTACAGACTTGCCTTAATTTCAGTATGCATATTTCCATAGAAGAAATGTGCCATTTTCTGTATATAAAAGCAGTTTTAGGTCAAGCTGGTCCATTATTCTGAATTTTAATTAGTGTTAAATAGGATAATTGCTTTGTGGTTTTGCTTTCCCCAAGTTCATAGAATAAAACTACTCTATTTCCAAGAAATCCCACTTCAGCAAGATGCACTTCTCATAGACAGAAGATTGTGGTCTTAAAGGCCCAATACCTAAACCAAAAGGGTGCTCACATACCTGCAACAGCCTCCGAGCCTCTGTCGTATGCCTCTGCCAAAATCTCAGGGCATTCTGATGGGCACAACTGCAATGCTTCAAGGCAGTGTGGAGTTTGCTTACTCCCTCCTACCTCCCACACCTTCCTACTGGCCCAATACTATAATGGGCTGCCTCAGTGGCCATTAGAAATTTGGCCAATAATTAGGCTGGACACCTAGGGATACAGTCTGGGATTAGGGTAAAAGGAAGGTCCACGGGAACAAAAAATCAATTTAAAAACTAACACTGACACTTGTAGGCACCACAAGGGCCCAGCACTTTAGCACTGTTGTTACCATGTATTAGTTTAAGCCAGGTCAGTTGCACTTTACAATGCTAAGGGGTGCATTTATAAAACGTTTGCAGAGCTGTTTGTTCTGTGATGTCTGTGTTGTAAATTTTGCACCGCAATATGGCCACTAGATGAAGCCGAGGAGCATAGGAGTTTCCTATACTTCTCCACTCCATCTAGTGACCATAATGTTGTGCAAATCTACAAAACAGACATCGCAGAGCGAATAGTTCTGCAAACGTTTTATAAATAGACCTCTTTATCTACCCAAGATGGAGTAGATATGAGATGAGAGATGCAAGATGTGCTTGCCAGACTTTCCAAATTTTATTATCACAGTTCTTAGCACTGTTCAAAGTGGACCACTTATGTTGCTGCCTCCCACCCCTTGCTGTTAAAATTCTTCATTATGGAGATAAAAGAACTCTGGGAGAAATATTTACTTTACTCCATGCTTCTGGCACTTTCTTCTAGATGAGGTGACATCAATGGGTCTTCTTGTGGGATCTTGGGAAAATTGAGGATCCCAAATCCCGTAAGAACATGCTTTTGTACAGGGCAGTAGTGTCCCCTCATGAAAATTGGGATCCTAAGTTGCCCAAGATCCCTCTGTGAGGCCCAGTGATGTCAGAAACAGGAAGTGGTCAGAACACACAAGTAAGGAGAGTATTTTCATAAATAATTTTTCAATATGCAGCCACATATGTGACCTTGCATTTTGTACAAGGTTCGCTTTATTCAGACAAGGCTATTGTCGTCTGTAACAAGTAAGTCTTACAACATCACAACTAACGTTTCTCCTCTATTACAGATGGTGCAGTGCTTGGGCTTTGCCATATACCGGGCGCTGGACTGGGGGCTGGATGAGAGCGAAGAACGAGAGCTTAGCCCGCAGCTAGAACTGCTCATTGACCTCATGGCTGCCAGCGATTCAGAAAGCACCATGGCAGATGAGGGCTATGAAGGCACAGAGGATGAGGATGAAGAAGGTCCTCCTCGAGTGGTGCGCAGCTATACGGCAGCCCTTCGCTTCTGCGCTTCCCACCTTCCAGAACCTAAGGAGGCCCCTGTCCACTACCAGGCGGTTTGCAGGGCTCTGTTTGCAGAGACGTTGGAGCTTCAAGCGTTCCTTCATAAAATCCGGGAGGCCAAAGAGGTGAGCGAATGGAGAGAAAACAATCAACACCTAGTTCTTCGGATGAATTGTTGTAGGAAACACAAAGCTAATTCAAATATTTCTTCTCTAGGTGCTGGTGAAGATGCAGGTGGAGGAAATTGAGCCAGATGGACTTGTGAACTTGCAGAATACGGACTGGGTAAGGAAGAGTGATGAATGTAAATGTCTTGAACCTGGTGAGATATGATGAAGCTCTAAGCATGAACGTGGCTTGATTTATGAAAGCGGTACACTACATGACCTTATCACTACCACTCCACCACTTCTTTTGTATTGGTAAAGAATACGTCTTTTCACCAAAGTACACTTACCTTTTTGCCCACCTGCCTGTCTGCTGTGCTAAGCTAGCCCACCTTATCCCACCTTAAACGCAAACTTACCTTGCAATCAAGTCTGTGATGTTTGTTTGCATCTTGCAGCCAGAAATTAAGTATGCTGGCCGTGCCTGTGCAGTAGCCTCCCCATTGGGTTCTATAGGACCATCTCTGGGATATAACCCAGGCTAGTTTTGGAGTAGGAAATTAGTATTTGGGAGATTTAATGTAACTTGCAGCCTCATGAAAACAACAAGAAGAGAGAGGACGTCTCCAGCAAGTGAAGGGAACTTCCCTCTTAGACAGTTGTCACTAGAACAGGTGGCCGCATTGGAAGATTTCTGTCGTTGGGCAAACTTAAGGGTTTGGGTTTCCCATCACTTTCTGTCCCCGGGACCATGATTACCAGTGCTAATAGAGAGGCTGAATCTCCCCAGCAATAATTACCCTTTACAGAGGTTCTAACCCTTCCACACTTCATCCAAAACAGAAGTTTTGGCTGTACATACAATTCAAAGGCAACTTGCACTTAGGGGTTGTTGGCCTCCTAAAGGTGGCCATACACTGTACAACCATCGCAAGACCTTAGTCTTGCGATGGTTGTAAAGTACTTAAAAAAAGGTACGATCTGCCCATCTTGGACAGGCAGATCGTACTCTCGATCATCGCAAGCCAGCCCCCCTGAGGGGCGGGCTTACGATGACTGTAAGTGTTGCATTAAGCCCATTGAAATGAATGGGATGGCAATGCACCAAACGTCCAAAAAACAAACATGCATCATTTTTGTCAACACAATGCACTACAATGCACGAAAGTGCATTTCCGCTTGTTTGATGCGATGCAACACATGTGCATTGGAGCTGCTTTGCCTTAGTGTGTTGGGGTGGCATTCAAAACCAATGGCACTAAGGCATGTAATATGCGTTAAAATCCTCTGTAGTGATGCACACATTAAGGTGTGCATTTTTAGAGCAAACGACCACCTACCTATAAATTAACATGGTGGCCACTCAGATCCGTATACATTCCCATAGCTGCAATGCTTTGCGGTGTGGCACGTCACCTTTAGATGCTTGCCAAACGTACCTATTGAAGTGAATGGGACCAGACCGCATCCATGTGCCAAACGCTTGGCACGTAGTTGTGGTGCGTTGTGTCAAAGTAAAAACCCTACAAGGATCAAGAACGAGAAAAAGGCAAAAAGGAGGTGGCAGTATCACCTCCTAAAACCTGCAGATCACTACTCAACTGGCTCCGAAATGCAATCCATTGCCGATCGCTTTTCAGAATCGCAGTAAGGTTCACCTCCTGTGTGATCAAGACCTTACAGGGGATGGGACAAACTATAGCGCTGCCAGCGGGTGCTCACAATAATAGGAGAGATTGGGCCTGGTGTGAAACCAGTTCACCTGAGTCACTCAAGTCCGCTAAAAACTGTTCAGTGACCTCCACTCCCCCCCGGCCCAATCAGCGGCGGGAGTTGCAGCTTGGGCATTCCCTACCCCCTTGTGACAAATAGCTGCGGGGCAGCCTTTCCGAAACTGATTGGGCTGGAAGTCACAGTTTTCAGTGGGCTTGGGCAACTGGGTTCACACCAATTCCAGCCTCATCACTACTCACAATAGATACCATAGTAAACTGTGGCAATAATGGCCCAAGCTCCACTGTGTGCTTTAGTTTGTCCCATCCCTTACCAGAAGGGATATGCGTGGGGTGGGAGCGAATCCAGTTGGCCTTAGTAAGTCCGTGCAAAACTGTCACTGACACCCCCTCCTCCCATTGATGAGGTCAGCACAGCACAACTGATTGGTCTGGGAGGGGTGTGTCAATCACAGATTTTTGCAGACTTGGGCAAACTCAGATGAACTGGGTTCACACCAAGCCCCTGCACATCACTATTTACCAGTTTACCTGGACAGCTTGGTTTGCATAAACATGTGCATCAAAATGTAAAAAAAAAAAAAAAAAGGAGAGATAAATTACAATTCATATTCTGAATACTATCAACACATTTATCAACTGGATATACTGATGCAATCTTTTTATGATCATAGTCCTTTGATCCCGCCTCAGTGCCCAAAGTTCAGTCCACGCTGGCCCTGCACAGGTTTTAAAGCTCTCTGGACAGCAGACAGGTGTATGAGTCAGTGTGCAAGATGTTTGACAGCCTCACCTGTAAGATCCTCATATCTAAGTATGAAGTGAGTGCTCCATAGAGGTGTACACATTACTGAGCACAATCTTTTCTGTCCTATGCACGCGTTTGTGTGACAGCATGTCCTGCGATCGTTGTGTCACACGCATTACTTCTTTTGGTCTCTGTTTTGCTTTCTGTTCTGTGCTCTGCATCACGGAGTATATTCTATGTTGCACATGTTTGACGCATGGCTGCGTACACAGGACCTTGTTCTCCGTGCTGTGTGTGTCACACTTGGTGTCGTGTGCTCTGCAGGCTCGTTTGTGGGTGCAGCTGATGAGAGATCTGCGACATGGGGTGCAGCTGAAGAAGGTGCGGGACAAGACGTTTAATTCTTTGCCCACCGAATACCAACTTACTCCATTCGAGATGCTAATGCAAGACATCAGGGCACGAAACTACAAGCTGCGCAAGGTTATGGTGAGTGGGATTTAGGGCATCAATGCCAACTATTTCTGTTTTCCAGGGTTGCTCTGGGGCTCTGAGGACTTGTCACTGGAAATATCCATTGTATTATCAAAAACTGACAGATTGTAGAATCAAATTCATGAATTTGTGCATGTTTAAAAGAAAATGGAAATAACCACATTTTCAGGTGAGCTCAGCAATAAAGAGAACCTCTACTGAGAACAATACAGGCCCTGTATTGTTCTCAGTAGAGGTTCTCTTTAAGGCTAATCTATTGCATGTGAGGCGAGGTCACAGTGTTTTAGAGTAGACTGTATATGGACACCTGTCTCATTGCCATATACATATTACATGAATGGAAACCTAGCATTATGGTAGGCTTTGAATGCCAAGAGTCCAGCACCTGGTTGTAGTGCTGGTTTTTTGATGCCCCCACATGTCCAGAACCTAGTTCTCACACTTAATACAGTCCCCTAACCCTTAAAACTTAATCCCAACCTCTTTAAATTAACCCTTAAAGTTACTCTAATGCTAAAACTGGCAACAAAGGGTCCCTTTCAACTAAGATAGTAAATAGTCAACTCTCTTAATGCCCATCACTACTGTATATGAATAGAATGGCCAAATAAAGCCTCTTCAGAGGGTGTCGCTTCCTTAGTCCCCTGCTGTGCTCAGTGGTTCGTTCCGCTGACCACTATGTTACTACAGGACATAGTAGTGATGTAGGGGTCTGCAGATCAAACTATTGCACACAGCAGGGGACCAGGAAATTGACACTCATGGAAGTGTCAAATCCTGCAAAGTTTTTCAGGTGGCAATTGTCTCTTTATTACAATGTCATTACATACAGCAGCATGGGTGTTGGGAAAGGTGAGCATTTATGATCTTCTTTCTAGGGGACCCTTTTGCCAGTTCTACTTTAGTAACATAGTTGCTTTTTCGGTTCACCTAACCTTGAAAATTAGCCCTTACCTTGTCAATCAATACTGAATCTCAATCCAACCAATGCTGAATCTTAATAACACCTAACACTTAAAGGAGAACTATGGGGTTAGGGCTTTTCCCCATAGTTCTCCAAAGGGTAACGGGAGGACAAAACTAGCATCCTCCCTCTACCCAAAGGTCAGTATACCGCGAGCTACAGCTCACCGTATACTGAGACGCCACAGCTGAAACGGATCCTGCGTGAGTGACAGCTGGCTCTGCCTATCTAGAGGCAGAGCCAGCTGTACCCGCCCACTCCCCCGTCCATTCCGCCAGTCAGCGCAGGAGGATCGGACAGGGGAGGGGAGAATCCAGTCACTCCCCTAACACGGCTCTCTGCAGTGACAGGATCGAGAAGTGAGCGAGCGCTGGTATGTGTTCGCTCACTTCCCTATCTACTGAGCCGACCTGTGACAGTTTTTCATTTTCACAGGTCGGCTCAGATTATGAGGCTGAGTGAAAAGTACTCACCTCATAATTCTCCTTTGGGGCTGATAACACACTGGCTTTTTCTTTGCAGTAGCAATTTATTTTGCATAGTCACATAATTCTGCAATCATGTTCAATTGATCACTATTGAGACAATGCAATTATTAGATGGTTGGATAAGCTAGTGGGTGAGAGTGTCTCCAAGAGGACCCCGGGCACCTAATTTATTAGATTGTAGCTGGTCTTAGCGTGTTCACGGATTCAAAAAGTAATGATGTAACATATAATTTGACAGGTTGGGGGAGACATGCCTCCAAAGGTCAAGAAAGATGCACACGAGGTGATCCTGGACTTCATAAGGTCTCGTCCTCCTCTGAAGCCAGTAAGGACTCTTGTCTTCTCTTGTTGTGTCTCCAATTGAGTTCTGCTCTAAATAAGAGTTCTAAAAAGAATCAACATGCTCTGTCTACTGTAGGTATCCAGTAGGAAACTGCCACCATTGCCCATCAAACAGAGGAGTCTCCATGAAAAGATTTTGGAAGAGATTAAACAGGAGCCGAAACTGCGCCCAGTGGAGACTCAGCGAAGAGGACAAAAAGGTAAATCTTTGGGGTCTGAGGGCTTGTCTACTCTGTGCAGTTATGTATGTCAACCCACAGCCACTAAATCACTTTTTAAGCACATCTCTGGACATAAAACAAATTCTAACTGTGTGTTTGTTTTGTTTTATTACAGCCTTTTGGAATTGGGATGGGGGGGCCTTGAAAAATAAGTGGACCTTTTTGTTTTATTTATTTATTTTTGCAAATGCAAGGTCCAATTTAAATCTGAACTGGTCTACTGTTAATCCTTAACATGCAGAACAGTCCCTCAGAACCGCATGCATCTTCACCCCTGCGGTGCGATTTCTGTTGGGTTTTTTATTTGTTTTTTTGCTTAAAATGGGATTTCAGGTGCGTTCCGATGTGTTTTGATGCGTTCTGTTGTGAACCGATGCAGCTAAAATAGGGCAAGCAGTATTTTTTATGGCTGCATCGGAATGGACTGTGATGGTGTGAACAGAGCACAGGAAATCCCATAGGAAAGCATTGTGATGCGTTTTTGATTGCAGCCCAAAAACGGAACGGACTGCATCTGGTGTGAACTAGTCCTAAAAGCTAATTGAGCTGCGAATGGAATTGGTACAAAAGCTTACCTTATTCCTCGCCCCTGCAGGCTTCGTTCTCTCTATTCAACCAGTCCTCAGAAGCTGCTTCACTTTGCTGATTGCAGCTTTCTGATATCATGACATACAATGTAGGACCAGCAATCCTGAACTATACAGGAGCACAGAGAGGGCCCGGCCATAACATTGAGCGTCAGACAATGTAGAAGACGGAGATCACCATGACTCTTTAGCAAAGCCATACTTTGTTTTAGTAAAGGGTTATATAGTCTGATGGAAAGTTTGCATTAATTACACCATATGTAAAAGTATGTGGACCCCCCTCTAAATTTTTGAGAAGCTTGCAGAAGCATTTTACAGAATTGTGTACATCCAATCTTGTGGAAACATATGAGGAAGACCATTTTCTGTTCCAGCGTGACTGTGCCCCTGTGCCAGCTCCATAAAGACATGGTTTGATGAGTTACTACTGTAGAGTAACTCAAGTGACCTTCACAGAGTCCTGACCTTCATCCAACCTAATAACCTTTTGGAAAAATGAGAACGCTGATTGCGAGCCAGGTCTACTCCCCCAACATCGGTACCTGGCCTCACAAATGTTCTTCTTGCTGAATGGGCACAAATGGGCCTTCACAAAAGAGAAGAGGCTGTTGGCGCCAACGCAGCGGGACTCTATAATAATGTCCATGGTTTTTAAATGCGATGTTCAACAAGCCCATAGAGGTGTGATTGTCAGATACCCAAAAGCTCTTGGTTTGATTGTGTATAAGGGGTTACCTGTTAATATTTTGAAATGGGGACTAGTCGCACTTATGAACTTCCATATGCTGTCAGAAGAATACTTGGGGCTTGTGTTGACAGGCTTCAGACTCAGAAGAGAGTCATAATGCAGTATGCTTTTAGGTGCCTCCAAGATGTTTTTTCTTGCTTTTGAATTGTATTGATTTGCTTTTTATTCGCCGCTTCTAGCTTGCATCAAGCTGCTCTTGCATTCACATTGGCTTGTATGGGAAGATCCGTTCAGATGCAAACATAATCCCATGTACAGAAGTCCCTTATTCTTCTGAGAAACTTCCTGACAACTAAAACCTCTTTTACTGGCTCTGAATAACCCCATATTCATGTTTCAGGGAGTTCAGATTGCACATATTTATGATGCTCTTTTAATTCAGGTTTGCATTTGTTCTAATGTACATCTTAATAGGCTTTGGGTCTCTCCCATGTATCATGGATGCTTGTTCCAGCGACAAGAAGTCAACATCCTGCATCAACCTCTCCAATCCAGATCCGTTAGCCCCCCGACCACGTCCTCGTATCCTGCTAAAAGCCCCAACGCTGGCTGAGATGGAAGAGATGAATCTGTCTGAGGTGAGCTACAACATGATGGTTATTGCAGGTCAAGGACAGTATGCAAAGGAAGGAAAGCAGCCAGTCGGGCGAATGCAATCCTCCAAGAGTTTAGAATTCTGTCAGCAGGATAGAGCAAAGGAAGGAGTATAGCGATGATCTCAAGTATATGGTGATTTATATTGAAGTACATTTGTCATTAGGTAATTCTATAGGCTGCTGTGGCTTTTGTGCTTTGAGTCACTGACCTTACTCTGTGCCCACATCATTTTGACCTGTGATGTCTCCCTTTTAGGACTGTCTGTACCCACATTTCCTCCGGCTGCAGTACTGCTGGGATCATGTCATGATAATTCAAGTCCTTCAAACTACAGGGCTGATGCATAAAACTTTCACCCAATGTTTTCCCCTAATATTTCCCTTTTAAAATAGAAAAAGAGATTGAGAACACAGAGTCCATAATCTATTTTTCTGTATCCCCTGTTATCAATGAACAGGAATCCTCTGAGTGTTCGTGTTCATTGATAACATGAGGACAAAGTATGATCACTATAACCACAACTATGAATGAACAGGAGGTGCTGTAGATCACTTCCCATTCATTAATTATTGAGGATATAGTAACTATACTGTCCTCAATTATCTACAGACACTCAGCGATCGCTTAGTGTTTGTACCCGCTCTCCTCTCTGACAAGCTGTCACATGAGGCTGAGTGAGCGGTGTAGGGAGGTAGCCCAGCTTCCTGTGACAGCGCGGGCTTTCTCCGCCCACACACCGCTCTGCCGGAGGCTGAGCTGTGTGGGAGGAGAGACACTGGCCGATCACTGCGCTCTCCTTGCGCAGCGCTCGGCCAGCTGTCACTTTCTCTCCTTCCCGCTGGGACACAGAGCAGCGCCCAGCGGGGAGGAAAGAAATCACAGGTGCGCCGATGTATCGGCAGGAAAATGGCACTTTCGGCATTTAGCCAAAAGTGCCATTTTCGCCTGGCGCCCCCCTCCTCAGCTCTGCGCCCGGAGCCCCCCTCAGCTCTGCGCCCGGGGCAAACGCACCGGCTGCCCCCCCCGGTTGTTACGCCACTGCATGACATTATGGTCACTAGATGTCGCTGAGGCACATGCAAATGCTCATCGGCTCCATCTAGTGGCAGTAGTGCAAACTGCATTTTCTCAGCTATTCACATGGGGCTGAAATTCTATACATCGGCCTCTAAGTGAGGCAAGAATATTTGAAGTGGAACTTCAGCTTTATGTAAAGAACAACCCTGGCCATATGAAATCTTAACCCTTGCAGTGGGGCTAACCCTGCACTTCAAGCGTTAAGTGCTCTTTTTGTCTAGGGAGCTAAAATAACAAAGATTTACTCATCCAAACATGCGACCCTGCTGGCTGCTAGACTGATCCCTGCAGCCTCGATCACCCGATCTAAGAACCTGTGACATCATATCCAATACAGTGTATTGGACGCAGAGGGACATTACATCAACGGAGCGGAGGGGGTGAGAGGTCGGAAATATGTACTCCGGGAATATGTAATCTCAACCCTTGCAGTGGGGCCACTGCAAGGGTTGGTTACGTATGCCTGGAGTTCTTCTTTAAAAATACAAAAATGTAATGCTGCATTATAGCCACGAGGGAGCTGAAGAACATAGAAAATCCGTATATCCTTATGCTTCTCAGCGCTGTTTTGTGACCATAAAGCTGTACTACATCCACAATACATTCAACCTGAAAAGAAAATGTATTAAAGAACGTTCGTTTTTTGCCATTATTCACACAAAACGAACATTCACAGATATAGTTGGCTAAAATCCTGACTTTTACTACAGATTGGTCCTAAAGCATCACATGTATAATTTACTCCTAAAATTGTAAATAGGCTGGGTGCCGATAATCATGATTTTTGGAAAGTGAGTGCAGCGATTCAGAATATTTTGATGGAGCCTGACTTTTCAATGCGGCAATCCTGGTGTTGTCTTGTAGGAAGATGATTCCCCCAACTCTGAGCTGCGGAGGGTAATAAGTGCCCCGTTGCCTCTGGCACGTGACCGCTCGTTCTCAGAGCAGGACCTGGCACAACTGCAGTGTGAGATGGGACACAAGCCTCCTCGAGGAGCACATCAGGGAGTGCTGGAATCGGAGACACGAGCTCGATCAGGCAGCATGAACATGCCACATGGAGTAAATCGAGGTTTCTGTAAGTACTCTGGGTTTTAATCTCTGTTGGTACTTGCACTTTTTGGCGCTATCAATCAAGGGTTTTATTATGTTATCAATGATTTGTAAATTATATCCATGTGTGTTAAAAAAGATGTATGCATAGGGGCAGCTATATTTTTGTCTTTACATATTCAGGCTCTGCTTCCTGCCTTGTAGTGTTACACAATGGTTGTGCTTTAATGCTCCTTCCCACATGGCAAGTCTGAGATGTCCAACTAAAGACAAAAAAAATCAACTGTACTCCCAATAAGCCCGACCTGATCTAAAATATCAACAGTGTTGGTGGGCATTTAGCTTGTGGTAGCTGTAAGTACCTGTGTCTTGTAATTGATCTATGTCCCTGTGGAGCCCCCCTGGATCCTAGACCCATAGTGTACATGGACCTGACACCCTCCTGGTGCTAAGCTCTGCCCTATGCCATTCAACTGTCCAATCCCAGAGTCTTGGCTGCTCACTGATGTTCTGGCACTTGACTGTTGAAAGATATGTTGGCAGGGTCTAGTGCCAAAATTACCTAATCTTGACTTGGGCAGAAGTCAAAGACTCATATGCAGCCTGGGCCTTGGATACAAGAAGCTCCACGGGGACATAGAGATTGGTTTAAGGAATTAATAAAGGTACTTGAAGGCATTTGCTATCAGATAGAGCAGGAGATAGGAGATGGTCCGTGTTATTAGGAAAAGGCCAGGCAGGGCCATAGTTGTCTATGCTGGCATGGCTCTCATTGGAGCTGGTAGACTCCATCTGTCACAGTGCAATACAGTGTTTATAAAAACTTTAATCCTCATATTCTTGCCCACAGTGAGTTACTCAACATGCGGCAGTTGTGGTACTCCATCACCCAGCCGTAGCACGCTCAGCTCTGTGCAAGAGAAGACCGAACCCGACTCAAGTGGGGACAACAGCTCCAAACACCGCTGGCTGGTAAGTGGTCGGATAATTCTAAACTGTATCCTCGTGAATAACCGAAAACCCCCATCTGAGAAAGTAGGTTTTACTGTTGAAGTGGAAGTAAAATGGAGGTGTTTGCCATATTGTGGTTGTATGCCCAGCAAATCACGGCCAAAATACCTTGTGTGGCAATCACCTCCAGCGCTGCTGTGTCCACACGCCCCTCAGTGGCTGGCGCTTCCATCTTCCCCCAGTCTTCTAGGTTCAGCTTCTTTGGACTCTTGATTTTCTGGGTGGGAATAATTTAACTTCCACACATGCACATTGGAGTTACTTCATTTCAGCACAGGACCTTACCAAGTCTATGCACTGAGCTGTGCATGCGTGGCTTAGTGTACAGAGGAAAAAAAATTGCTGAGAAGACTTCACTTCCACAGTATCTGTGGAGGAGGGCTAAGAGATATTTGTTCAATTTAGTGCTTGGGGAATAAGGGTTATTCAGGGGAGAAGGTTAAGGGGTTGATTTACTAACCTTATAAACACACCACGAACATGTATACACCTCTGTAGTGTGTTCCCTCCCAGCATGATCTATGGGTGGAATCTAAACACCTTTGCGGGCGGGTCTGGCAGCGGCGAGCGTGAGGTGGGGAAGAGGTGCGGTGCGCAGCGTGTGTGGAGCCGTGAACAGGGCCAACTGATCATAAGCCGATTAATCGATTATTGAAAAAGTTGACAACTTTTTCAATAATCGATTATAATCGATTATGTCGATTAGTTGTTGCAGCCCTACACACTATAAAAGCTGGCCACACACTATAAAAAAAAACAAAAAACGACTGATGAACCCATCCCTGCTGGTTTGGCTAATTGGCTGCACTCATTGTTTGGCCAACAATTTTCAACAAGTCAATTGAAAAAATCAACTTTTTGGTGCCAACAGGGCCACCCTTGGCTCAAGCAGCATATGGCCAGCCTTAGCATTAAGGAGAGTTAAAGCCTATTACCAGGTAAAAAAAAAAAACTAAAAAAACGTCCCCTTGCAGCGCTTGTTTTTGTCTCGAGGGATTCTGTAAAAAAAAATGTTTTGCTTTCCTGATCCCTGCTCACCTCTTCTCCCCCCAATCCGCGCCAACCTGTGGACGGTCCCTCAGCGTCCTCATGTATAATGCAGGGCTATGGACCTTGCATCAGGCGTAATGATGTTAGCAGGTCTCCAACTGCAGGAGTGGAGATCAAGAGGGTAAAAGTGTTTTATAGAATCCCCCCTAGGCAAAAATCAGCAGTTAACCAATGCAGTGGGTCTGACCTTGCGCTGCAAGGGTTAACTGCTCATTTTTGTCTAGGGGGATAGCTTTTTTTTTTCTCCATCCTGCAGATAGGCTTTAATTGGCCGGTGGGAATGTTGCTAATTTGTACTTTTCCAGCGCAAATGCCACAAAAAAAAATCACAGAATTGGGCTCCCATCAATGTAAATATACCACAATGTATAATACATATGACTCTTAGCCATCTGCTGAAAGTGGTTCATATATTGCCTCCTGGGGTAAGAAAAAAAAAAATCATAGCGGCCAATCAGAAATCATCTTTCACTGATCTCTTGTATGGGTCACTGCACCTTCCAGATCGTCTTTGTTCATTGTGTTGCCTTATGGAATAAGCCCAGACATCTTTAATATCCTTTTAGGAATTCAGCCACCCGGTGGACACCCTGGCTCTAACCGTGGAGGAGGTCATAAATGTGCGAAGGGTGCTGGTTAAGGCCGAGATGGAAAAGTTTCTGCAGAGCAAAGAGCTGTACAACAACATGAAGAAGGGAAAGGTATGGAGCACAACTGGTGTTGTAGGGTAAATGATAGGAACGAACATTACCACACTAGATTTGGGCCCACCTCATCAGAATGTAAATCTAATCTAAAGGAAACCTGTACTAAAAGAAATAGGAGGCTGCTGTTACTGATACCTTTATGAAATTGCTATTTGCCTGGCAGCTATACCTGATCCTCCAACCTCAGTATTTTATGCTGAAACAAGCATTCAGCCAGTGAAGGCTGAACAAAATCAAAACCACCTATCTCCATACTTGTCAGAGGCTTTCTGCATTGCTGTATAATGTATTGCTAAAATTTGTACTCTATAGCTAGTGGCATTCTGCATTACTATATAATGTATTGCTGAGATTTATAGTCCCTCTACAGCTTGGAGTCAGTGGCAGAACTACCAGGATTGTATCCGTTGCAGCTGCGACCAGGCCCTGGCACTCCGCTGTTCTAAAATCATTAGTTTGTATTGTTTTAGAAAAACTGTCACATGGCACTAAAAAAAAAAGTACTTGAGGAAAATTATCGGTACTCGTACTCGGTCTGGTAAAAATGGTATCGGTGCATCCCTATAATAAACAAATGTTTTAATACATGACAAAGAGTTCCCAGAGTGCCATGGGTTAGCTAAAAAGATCACAGCAGACTCTGCTTGCTTTTAAGTTGCATTTGTCTGTTGAAACTTCAGACTGAACCTCTGATAAAGGATAAGTGGACTCATTGCTTGAATAACTTCAGCTATTGGGTTGTGTAATCAATGGACGTGTTCCAGCACAGCTATAACTTGCGTAAAGGAGATCATGAGCTTTATCTGTTGGTCCAGTAAGGGAACACAAACTATTAATGTGTAATATTTCATATTTGGCTATTTTATTATATTCCCGGCCATAATAGAAAAAAAATGTACAAAACCATTGTACATAGTAAGAATCCTTTTTTTGTTTTTGTTTCCCTCTCCTTCTCTTTTTACTTGTACAAGCTTTCTCCTGAAAATGACACCCATAATAGAATGAATGTTCTTATTCTCAGGTTTGCTGCTGCTGCAGATCAAAGTTCCCTCTCTTCTCTTGGCCTGCCAGCTGTATGTTCTGTAAAAGGTAAATTCTGATCATTCTTTCACACGGTGCTGCAATTCCTGTGGGTTATGGCATAAAGAAATGTTTTACCAGCCTGGTGACCCTGCAGACTTTTATAACTTTACGGTGCATTAGTAAACCATAAAACACACGTTGTTATTATTACATAGTATTTATATAGCGCCAACAGTTTGCGCAGCGCTTTACAATGTAAGGAAGACATTACAATCACAATACAATTCAAGATGGTAAGGAGGGCCCTACCCCTGAGGGCTTACAATCTGAAAGAGGAGGGGGAAATGATACATGAGGAGGTAGCTGTGTGGGGATGAATTGTTTGAGAATGTGATGGTTCAATGGTTAGGTTGAGGTGGGATAGGCTTCCCTGAAGAGAAGAGTCTTCAGGGAACGCCTAAAGACAGTCAGGGTGGGAGATAGATGGACAGGTTGGGGTAAAGAGTTCCAGAGGATGGGAGAGACTCTAGAGAAGTCCTGGAGGCGAGAATGGGAGGAGTGGACAAGGAAACTGAAAAGTAGGAGGTCCATGGAGGAGCGGAGGGCGCGGTTAGGGTGATATTTTGAGACAAGGTCTGAGATATATCCGGGGGCAGAGTTGTGGATGGCTTTATAAGTGACTGTTAATATTTTGAATTTTATCCTCTGGGCGAGTGGAAGCCAGTGCAGGGATTGACAGAGGGGGGTTGCAGACACTGAGCGGTTGGTCAAGTGGATGAGTCTGGCAGCTGCATTCATGATAGACTGAAGGGGGATATCCTGTGTAGTGGAAGGCCAATGAGGAGGGAGTTACAATAGTCAAGACGAGAGATAACAAGCGAGTGGATGAGTAGTTTTGCGGTGTCATTGGTGAGGAAGGGGCGTATTTTTGAGATGTTACGAAGGTGAAGGCGGCAGGATTTGGATAGTGATTGGATGTGGGGAAGAAAGGTGAGGTCCGAGTCAAGGATGACACCTAGGACCTTGGCATGAGGGGAGGTTTGGATAGTTGTGTTATCAATCTCAACTGAAATGTTGGGGGAAGGTGCACGGGGTGGAGGAAATATCAAGAGCTCAGTTTTTGAAAGATTGAGTTTTAAGAAATGTTGTGACATCCAGACGGATATGTCAGTTAAGATTAGTGACACGAGAAGACACAGAGGGGTAGAGTTGTGGAGTGGAAAGATACATTTGAGTGTCATCGGCATAGAGATGCTATTGGAAGCCATTCATTCCACATTGTTAGGTTTAAAAAAAAAAATGTTATTCCCTTAAAGGGTATCTGATTGGTTGCTATCTATACTATCCTGCTCTACATGGCAGACACAAGTTCTAAACCTCCACTGAGTTATTTTCTTTTACTTCCTTCTAGGTCTGTTTGTGGCTCCTGCGGCATGAAGGTGAGATTTTTTATCATGGTATAAGGAGAGTAGCCGTGACTTATCTGACAGATGATGAACTACAAGTCCCAGCTTGGCCTTTTCCCAAAGGCATTAGACGAGCTCATGATGCTGAGCATTGACATTGACGTCAGCTAGAGAACCACTAATTGGATAACACATTAATTAGAATGGAGCACAGACTTGACTGGGGCCGGAGCACAGACTTGACTGGGGCCGGAGCACAGACTTGTCTGGGGCCGGAGCACAGACTTGTCTGGGGCCGGAGCACAGACTTGTCTGGGGCCGGAGCACAGACTTGTCTGGGGCCGGAGCACAGACTTGTCTGGGGCCGGAGCACAGACTTGACTGGGGCCGGAGCACAGACTTGACTGGGGCCGGAGCAAAGGGCTGAACAAATCCAATAAGCCAGGTCGCCACTCACCAGTGCTCCTTAAGAGTTACAGCTGGCACCTAACGTTTGAGGGGATTGGCTTTCCTTGACTTTATGGCTAAGCTGTTTTTAAATGGCATTCCACTGTTTGAGACCACATGAACAGCTAACAAGGGCTTGCTTAATAGACATTGGAATGGCAGTTAGCAGAGTTTAATCGGGGAAGGTCAGGCCCCAATCCCAAGGGAAACTAAATCAGAGAGGGACAAAGAAGAGCCTTTTTTGGCTAAGCAAGGTAATGGCAAGCATCTCATGGTGTCTGCCCCTAGGCTGGACCTTTTGCTTTTAAGTTTTTAAATGGAGTACAAATTCACTTAAATGATTAGCTACACCCCAAACTATTATTTTATTTTTCAAGGGTGCCAGGATTTTAAATCGTATGTCAGTCTATTATATCTCATGAGGATCTCCCGGTCCCACACTTATATTAGTTTTGGATGGAGTTTGTCTTTAAGGAAAAAGCCTGGGGTCCCTCTATGTCCTCTGTTTGTACACAAGCTTAAAAGACTGATTTTGGAAATTATAAATACTTGTCATTGATTCCTTCTCCAGATGAAGCTTCCTGCCAAAAAGTTGGGGCACATCCCAGTCTACAGTGTGGGGTTTGAAAGCCAACCAGGCATAATGGGCACAAGTGGACACTCACACAAAAAGAGGGACGCCTTTCAGTGAGTATACACGTGTTCCCCAAACAAAGTAGTAGCTTCAAACTGTGTTCCGTATGAGGGGATGTAGTAGCATCAAACTGTTCTGTATGAGGGCATGTAGTAGCTCCAAACTGTGTCCCATATGAAGGGATGTAGTAGCTGCAACCTGTGCCCCATACAAAGGGATGTAGTAGCTGTAAACCTGTGCCCCATATACAGGTGAAACTCGAATAATTAGAATATCGTGCAAAAGTAATTGCAGTAAGTGCTGCAAAAGGGGCCCAAACCAAGTACTGAGTACATATGCATGCTTGTACTTTTCAGAGGTCCGATATTGTTCTATGTACAATCCTTGTTTTATTGATTGCATGTAATAATCTACTTTTTTGAGGTTGTGGATTTGGGGTTCTTGGGGTTTTCATGAGCTGTAAGCCATAATCATCACAATTATGACAAATAACGGCTTGAATTATCTTGCTTTGCATGTAATGAGTCTATCTCATATATATTAGTTTCACCTTTTAAGTTGCATTAGTGAAATAAATGAACTTTGCACGATATTCTAATTATTCGAGTTTCACCTGTAAGGGGATGTGTAGTTCCAAAATATACCCCATACAAGGGCATGTAATACTCCAAAATGTACACCATACAAGAAGATGTAGTAACTCCAAACTGTGCTCTATACAAGGGGATGTAGTAGGTTCATACTCTGCCCCATATGAGGGAATGTAATACTCCAAAATGTACCCCATACAAGGAGATGTAGTAACTCCAAACTGTGCTCCATACAAGGGGATGTAGTAGGATCATACTGTGCCCCATACAAGAGGATGTAGTGGCTCTAAAATGTACCCTATACAAGAGGATGCAGTATCTCCAAAGTGTGCCCCATACAAGGTGAGGTACTAGCTCTATACTGTGCCCCATATGAGGGAATGTAGTAGCTCCAAGCAATGCCCCCATATGAGGGGATATGGTAGCTTCAAAATGTACCACATAGGAGGGGATGTGGAAGCTCCTAAATGTGCCCTATATAAAGGGATGTAGTAGCTTCATACTGTGCCCCATTCGAGGGGATGTAGTTGCGCCAAATGAGGCCCCATACAAGGTGATGTAGTAGCTTCATACTGTGCCCCATTCGAGGGGATGTAGTTGCGCCAAATGAGGCCCCATACAAGGTGATGTAGTAGCTTCATACTGTGCCCCATTCGAGGGGATGTAGTAGCTCCAAATGAGGCCCCATACAAGGTGATGTAGTAGCTTCATACTGTGCTCCATACGACGGGATGCAATTGCGCCAAATGAGGGCTCATACAGGGGGATGTAGTAGCCTCATAGTGTGCCCCATACGACGGGATGCAATTGCTACATAATGTGCCCTATATGAGATAAGTGACCACAGCCGCTACATTATTACAGGACACACTAATGACTTGAAGGCTGCTGGTTAGAACCACAGCAGGGAACCTATTTTTATTTTTAAATGCAGCCATTTTAAATTTGAATAAATATGACCTGTTTCACAGTAGAAGGTTAACCTTAAAATATCAATTTTAGCTGGACTTACCCTTAATCGACGGTCTATACCATTTCTCTTTACTTAGGTCCTGCGGTGGCCTGTCCTGGAAGAATGTAGAGGGTCAGTTCCCCCATATCTATGCTCAGGGTTCCACTCTGAAGGACGTGTGCTTGGACTGCTCCAGTTTCATCCGTGACGTAGTGTGCTCCAGCCGTAAGAGCGTGGACATTCTGAACATGGGGAGCTCTCATCCTCCATATCGGACAGTTAAGAAGCTGTGATCTATGCTGCATTTTCCCTGCCAAAAATCCACCCAGCACCTTGCACCCTTCACCCATCCACATGCTATAGGGTCACATGGGCGCAGAACATGTCGTAACCCCATCTAAGCCAGGCAATGCAGCTATGTATGTTATTGAATGGGACTGCACTCTGGGACTAGTGAAGCAGATAACCATCAAATCATCTGGGTACCATCCCAAAGCCTGAGCACCTACCCTGGCCACTTATCATGGCCATATCTGCATGAAAGACAAACTGGTTGCTGTAATAGTTACATCTACTCAACCGATATTTTTAGTTGTTTGTGCACAGTGGTTAACATACTTACCCACTAGTTTACCTTTTAGTAACTGAAGTAGAGGGATCTCCCCTCTGCAGCCATTGCAAAATCAAGCAAGTGAGTCTCACTCCATCTGCTACATTTCCACCACTGTAATATAAAATAAAGAGGGAGGCACTGGTTACAGCCAGGTAAAAAAAGCCCTTTCCATAAGGGTAACAGCCAGTTGGGATTTGGGTTCTGAGGTTTCATGGCTGGTTACTGAATGGTATAACTAACCAATGGGTGGTTCCAAGTCAACAGGATTCACACAACATGGAAATATCAGCTTTTAATTTTTTTTATGTAACCTTTTAAAGAGGACCTATTATGCCTTTAGTTGTGTGGACTCTTTAAAGATGACCTATCATCTTTCTAGGTGTGTGGATCCTCTAAAGAGAACCTTAAATGGCTTGACAAAGGTGTGCTTTACATAGAGGCCTTTTGTGTCCTCAAAATACCCCAACAATCTAAACCTCTGTGTAATATATTTAGATACTTACAGATTCCCACTGCTTTGCCTTGTAAATAAGGTGGAACTCTTTATAATGGCACCTGCAAGTAAGCAGTAGTCTATTCTACCTCCGGTGTTCAGGTTTGACCTATACCTCTCTTTTTAGAGGTTAATGCATTGGCTTTTTTTTAAATTAAGACCATTGTGTACCACTGAAAAAAAATATCTTATTCATGACAGGTCCACTCTAAAGTTTTGGGAGTGTTGCTGAATTAAAGAACACCTGTAATGTAGTTACAAACATAATACTGTGAAGGAAAGAGAGGCGGTAGATACGGCATCATATCGAAGGCCTACTCTGACCTGTTGTGTTGTCTGTTACAATGGCAACCTCAGCATATTCGATTCTAAAGAGTTAGTTGTGATTGACTCATCTGTCATTCATCACCGGGGAATATTGCTTTAATTGACACCAAGCTCTTCCATCTTTAAGGAACCATTTTTTAATGGCAGATTTCTCATTTTTCAAATTCATGTTGGCTGGATGTCATGCTGAACATCTATCTTCAATACTTTGTGTCACGATCATAGAAAAAGATCAGTCCTTCTAAAATCGCTCTGACCTTACTGATCTGCATACTTGTTCCATGTCAGTACTCCTAAAGTACCAAAGCCAGAGGGTTAGCATAACAGCCAGGCAATCTTCTGAATAGGAAGGTTCACGTTAAGGAGCCGAGGCTTGGCTAGCTTAGGGAGTTTGGTTGATGGTCTGGGAGCCAGTGGTAACAAACACCCTTATGAAATACCCTACAACTATTATCATTAGAAAAAAAACAAAGGGCCCGCATTTCCTAACTACCTACCTACCTTCCATACAGCATGTCATTTTCTCTGAGTGAAGAAATATAGGTACACTTTAACAGTATTAGAGCAATGTGCTACACTGAACTTCCACTTAGATCTGTGTATAATGTCCTATGATATCTACTGTATGCTGTTAATCTTCAAAAAATGAAAGCACTTTTCAACCATGTGTGGAATCAGCGGGGATCTAGCTGGATCACTGGATCCCTTACACATATTACATTCCGCATGGATGATACTGATACATAGCTCCATAGCTGAACCTCCATAGCTGTCTCTATGTTCCTGCTCTCGCTTTGTTGGATTCCTTCCATCATCGGCTTACATGAGAACAAAAAGCATGTAGACCTTTGACTGTTTGCTTTGGTGGATGATAGACACTGACTGGATCTTGTGCCGCGGACCAAATTCACAACCAGTGTCCTGGTGCTGTTCAGGTTTTTTCCTGGTGGACGTAAAATGGTGAACATCCAAATATCGACAACCCAGCTAACCAAGCTGTTGTCCTGAAGATGTCTCTAAGGTTGAGTATACCCGAGTATTTTTTTATCTTACCTTTGTAATTGTTAGTTTGAAGCACATCACACCCAGTAGGCATGTACCTAGCATTTAGCAAGCAGCTCAGCATAGTAGTCACCCAGAACGTATTAAACACCAACTGAAGCCTCCTAATTGCTCAATGAAGATCTGTCCACAAGGTCTGTACACAGCATTCAGATTGGAGCTGAATGGTTCATAGAGGGTTTCAAGAAACGTTTTTGGATACTATGAAGAGAAGGTGCCCCCTTTCGCGTGATTGGGCTGAGGCGTCCGTGAGGGTCTGTTCTCAAGGAAAGAGAGATCATAGGAAAGAAAACTTGAACATGTACACTAGGGACAATTTCATGGTGAACTTAGCCACTTCTTCAAGATTTGTGTTAGAGAGGTTTTGCAGCCCCCTTAGATACAGAGGAGTCAATAGCAATGTGACTGCCATTCTGGACCCAAGCACCTGCACAACGTTCTCTATGACTAATCCTGAAGAAGTGTCTAGGTGCACCACAACGTAATAAACTTGTTCTTCCTCAATAAAGCATTATCCTATCAAGTTGTGCGGGTGCACGCTGCTCCATAGACTTACCTTGTGTCTCTCCTCGTCTCCCGGCCGAACATCTGAACTGCGCATTCGCCCGCCCCAAGATCCTTTGCGGCCGCCCGAGAAATTTGCAGATGTTCGGACGGGAGCGCGCGCCTGAAACGCAGGTAAGTATTAACCCTTTCAAAAAGTTTTTTTTTTTAATCGTTTTGAATATCTAATGCTTGATAGCAATAGATATATGCAAAAACATGCGAGGGTTTAATAACCCTTTAAGCTTCATCTCTCTTCCCTTGAAAACTGAAACCTGGGGACCCTTTTATATGCTTCTCTATAGTCCAGTGCTTAACAGCTCATTCTTAAAAATGCCTGGGTATACTTAGCCTAAGGAAATCAAGAGCTTGGACTATTCCAGTTATTATCTAAATCACATGTTCAAGTGCTGTGGTATGTATAGTACCTTTTGGTTCGCGCACAAGGTAGGGTTACCACCTTTTCTTCAAGCGAAACCCAAACACTCTAGAGACGCGCAGACAATTTTTGGGGAAAATTAGTTGTGGCTTATTCATATCTAAATAGCGCCACCCATTCATATGCAAATATTACAGGTGAGACTATTTTCAGTGGGGGGCCAGTAGCCCCTATCTTAATTTTGGTTGCCCCTGTCTGCCTGACATCTTGTGTCCGGGTTTCTGCTGCCATGAAACCCGAACAGAGCATTCAAAACCCGAACTGTCCGGGTGAATCCTGGACAGGTGGCAACCCTAGCACAAGGAAGGCCACCAACGTTTACATTCTGCTTCCGAGCTTAGAATTTATCGCTTTGCATGTGAGAACTGAGCATCTACTCTCCTAGAATTCCCTTTTGGCAGTAGACTCCCAAGTTGCGCTTAGATGGACAAGCACTTAATAACCAGAGTCCTCTTGTATTGACCCATGACCTTTACCCCCTCCAATGCATCACTATGAACTGTTCTAACATATTGCATCACGGGCACAAAACCTTCATATGGAGAAGTGTGGGCAAGCCGAATGAGATTTAACCCCTTAGGACTGGGGCACCCGACTTTGTGTTGCAGGGCAACATTTCCCAGTCCCCTCCAGACCTGAGGTGGTTCAACTCCTCCTATTTTTGTAAGAAAACAAAGAAAATACCAAAAAATGTAAATTGGATGATTGTGTAAATATATAAATATGCTGTATATGTATATCGGATAATGGCTTCTCCTAAACTGCACTCTGATTCATCCTGAAACATCTCACTGCAGTAAAGATTGCTTTTGTATAAACGCAGTGTTCACTGGTTATTGCTTGGGTCACGCCTGTCTTGCTTGTTGACTTAAAGGTGCATTCCATTCAAATATGAAGCTTTGACATTTCACCTCGCAGTTAAGAAGAGTGGCTATGACTTTTATCCCGGCGTGGGTGGGTGGCCGTGATCTGGCACAATCCTTATTTACGGAATGGCCTTTTGCTTGAGAAAAAGCAGGTGTATTCTGTGGTTGCAAACGTCTCCCCTATCTAGTACCTAGAGAGGGAGGTTGCACAGTACCAATCCATGTAACTTAATGGTGCTTATGTCTGGTCTTTACACTCAAGGCTGGGTGCTATAACTACTTGCTATTACATGCTCCACTCCATTATTCCGCAGGTGTAGCAGTGGTTAGCAATTAATCATGGGGCAACCATGGACGATGATTGCAACATTTCCCCACGTGCACCCAGCCTAAGCCTCGAGCTACTTGGATGATGTGATCATTTCTTGCTGCTGAGAGTTTTAGGTTGGATTCATACTTTTTTTGGTTGCGGTGTGTTGCTGTAACGCACATTATATGCATTAGTACATTGCAGTGCCATTCATTTTGAATAAGACCCGGATACACTAAAGCAACACTGCACCAGTGCAGATGTGTTGCAGTCTGGCACAACTCATGGTGGTACACTGTGCTGCCAAAATTGGTCATGCCCATTTTTTGGCTGTTTTGGTGCTTTGCTGGCCCATTCTTTTGAAACACAATAGAATGCTAAGCACCATGCGTTATTGCCACGCACTGCACTGGAAAAGTGTGAACCCAGCCTTAACCACTTCATTACACTTCAGCTACACAGAACATTTTTAATAGCTCAGTCATGCTTCTAAAATCACTAGAGATGTATTATTAGGAATATCAATTGAAAGCCAAACAGATGGAACAAGCGGCTCCCTATGGAGAAAACTTCACAAGTAGCATCTTGAAGTGATCAATTGATTGCTATCAGGTGGCGTTCTGTATCTTACTCCCCCGGAAGCCATTGCTTCCATCTATTTTGCAAT